TTTGGGAGATCCAAGAGCCACTGCTCTTTTTGGGGAGAGAGGGCTGCTGAGCGGTTGGGGTGGGCCAGAGTTCCTCTGACTGATGACCCACTCAAGCTGGAGAGGTTTTGGGGGGGAACTGGGAGGAGTGCACTTGAGTGAGGTCTGTCTACTCTTGCACTTCTTTTTTTTTTTTAGATGAGAAAGTTAAGATTCAGAGAAAGGAAACGACTTGTTTAAGGTCACACAGCTTTCAGCTCCCACTGGTCTCTGGAGGAGGGTTATAATTAGGGGATCCTGGGCTTGACAGCTGGGGCCAGAGGCACTGGATTCACTTCCCAGTTCACTTCCCAGGTTTCAGTGTGTGTGTGTGTGTGTGTGTGTGTGTGTGTCTGTCTGGGGAAGGGAATGTGATACCACGCACTGCAGCCCCTTCTCCATCTAGCCCTTTTCCCATTCTTCCCGCAGAACTTCAGCTCCTCGCTCCGAAGCTGTCCTTTTGGGGCAGAGGGAGGGATTCTCACAGATTCCCACGGTCCAGCCTTCTGCTAGGCGCGGCTCCTTTAAGACTCGCCCAGTCTCGGGTCTATTAAGGCGAGGAGAGTGGGGCGTGATCCTGTGGGCCCGCCTCTGGCTGGGGATTGGTCAGTGGGCGGGTGGGGGCGGGGCCAAGGGCGAGGGCCTCCCCCAGCTCCGTACCCTCCGCCCCCCAAGTCTGGGGCTCCGGGTAAAGTTTCAGCCTCCGCACGTGACTCGCCATGGCCGCTGCCTTCGGCCCGCGCTGCTGAGCTCGGTCCCCCGGACGGCTCCTCTCCCGGGAACCCGCAGCCCTGACGCCGAGCTGTCCCGAGGCGCAGGGGCAGGGCAGACGCCGCGCCCGTGGGCGCACGGACGGATTGCGTCCCCCGGCTGCGAGGTAACCTCTACCCCGGGGATTGTGGAGAGCCCCCGGCTCCCAGCGGCAGCGGGGACCCTTGCTCCGCTCCCGATAGGAGCTGCGGATGGGGACCGGGAGCCGGGCGGTTGCGGACGGGAGCCCGGGGTTTCCTGGGCTTCCCAACCCGCTGCCGCCGTGCCCGGGGCGGGGGAGCCCCGTCTGTGCGTCTGTCTGCGCCCGTGTCTTCGCGCGCAGCCGAGAGGCGTCCGAAGCCGCCTTGCCGTGCGTGTCCCCGGCGCCGGGCTGGGGCAGAGCCGCCGCTGGGAACTCCAGCTCTCTCTCTCCTTTCTCTTCAGAAACGAGCAAAACAAAAAAGACTTTCAAACCTGTTTGGGGAGAGATCGGATGCCCAACGGACGAGCCCCCTCCTTCTTCCCCGCCTGTTATCTGAGCTGCTCTGTGGTTTGGGGAGAAGCGACCCGGGGGCCCACCCCCACCGGCGGCAGCCGGCCTGGGGGGCGGGGCCCGCTCAGCTGGTGTGCCCCGTGGAGAGAGGGGAGCCGTCGGCATCGGGTGGGGGGACCAGGACCGTCGGGAAAGAGACGACTGGGTCTGGTGTGACCATGGGGTGGTGGCAGCTCTTTGGGTGAGAAGAGGACGGAATAGACTGGCCGTCTTTGCTCTGCCGAGGGTGTCTGGGACATGGTGCCACCCACGAGGCGGGGAAGCTGCTAGCCAGATGTGTGCGTGGGAGGGGGGCACTGGAAAATCGGCTTGGCTGTGCCCCCTCTCTGGGCACTGCCCCCCTGTCAGGCTGCTCCGTGGGAAGGGGGTCGGCCACCAGCGTGCCAGGCTGGGTGGGATGTGCACCAGCTCATATGGAAATCATACCAAAGCACCCCTGCCTCCCCCAGCCTTGGAGACTTCTTTCCCATCGATTCTGTCAGGGATAGGGCACCCACCTGGTGTGGGCTTCCTCTTCTGTAACCAGCCTGCCCTCTGCCCGCGGGCTGTGTGCACATGTGTGTAGGTCTATGTTCTCCAAGGGACTTGTTCCCGAGAACACTTCCCCACCCCCCACCCCTGCTGCATACCCCCCACCCTCACTTCTGCCCACCACCACCCTCTACTCCAGTTTCCTGGCAGGGGATTCGGACATGTCGCTGTCCCCTTCCCTGACTGCGGTGGTCATAGGGCAGGGTTGTTCTGGGGAAGCGATTCACCAAGAACACCAGGTCTTACTAGGAAATGGGCTCCAGCCTTCAACTCCTCCAGGGCCTTGTGCTTGATGGGGAGGCTGGTGGGGGAAGCCCCAGGCTGGAGTAGGGATGGCTTGGAGCCTTGGGGCTTCCCCTGTGGAGAGGGGGGTGGAGATGAGTCTGGGGGTGGGAACAAGAGAGAGAGTATTTGGAGCTGGAGGAAGAAGGTGGGTGTGTGGGGGTGGGTGTGTGTGGGAGGGTGTGGGGGTTGTGGAGTCAGGGAGGTTGTGGCTGTGAAAGATGTTGGTGCACTGGGAGGGGCTGGGACATAGTTCTGCCTGGGAATCTGGACCATGTGGTCCCTGAGACAGCGGTTACTACAGTCAGACTCGGGTAGGCCCCTGGGAGCTGTGGATGTTGGATTTTGCGGGATTTTGCAGGTGTAAATGAGTGCGATGCAGTGTCATTGCAGGAGTTTCCCCGCCAGACTGGTGAGGGCGGCACAAGGCACTGGCAGTTCTGCGAAGACCCTGGGCTTGGATGGCTTAATCCTGGGCACCTCCTCCTACAGCCCCTAAATCTGTGCCCTTCAGTTTTACCCTACATGCCCCTGCTACTATAGGACACCTCGCTGGTCCCCCCTCCTACTCCCCAACCATGTGGCAGCCTGGCAGGAAGCTAACTGTGGGCAGCACCAGCCTGATCACCCCCATGCATTCCCCGTTGGGCACAGTCACCCACATGTGCCATGACGTGGTTCCTGCCACCCTGTCTAGTGTGGGGGAGAGGACATCATCTGAGTGGCCCTTCGGGACTCCTTGGGGGGTATTGACCCACGCTCCTGTTAATTAATCTTCCTTCCCCTAAATCATTCGGTCAAGTTTCTGAGGAGGTTCGAAGTTGGCTGTGCCCTCTGGCACCTTTCCCCACAAGCCACTCCTTGCCCAGACTCTAGGGTCTTCAGTGGGGTGCTCCTCAGAACGGTGTGACATGAGGGTGCGGCCTGCCCCCAAACACAAACCTCAGTGCCCAGCCGCTGTCCTCTGGGTGGCATGGCCAGGCAGGACCTAGGCTGGGCGTCTTGGGGTCTGCTTGTGAGCACTGTCTGCGGCCTGGGTGAGGGCCATCTGGGGAAGGAACCCTATCCCTGTGATGAATAAACAGGGTTATCTTCACTTGCCCAGCACCCCACACCCCTTTCCGATGGTGGTGGTTTGGGGAGTGTGGGAAGCTGGCAGGGCCCCTGGCAAGATGACCAGGGTTGTCTTGACTTAACTGGGTTTTGGGAAAGGAGTGTGGCAACCGGACTCCAGCTTCCAGGGCTTTGGCTGCACATCCTCTGCTGCCTGCTGTCTTTCTTCCCTCCGTTCCCCTCTCCACCCTCTGGCTGCTGTCTGGAGCCCACACGGTTTGTGGGGGGTGAGGGCCTGGATCTCTGTGTGTGTCCAGGGAGTGTACTGGGGATTGGCAGGATTGGCTGAGGGTGTCTGGGTGTCCCCGCAGGGTGGGCGGTGTGCGGGGACCAGGCCCAGAGTGTGAGAATGTGTCAGGGTTGGTGCGTCTGTCCCAGTTTGGCTCGGGTGTGGGTGTCTCTTGCTCCGTCTGGATCTCGCCTCCCGCTCCAGTCCCCGCCCCCCCTCCTTCCCCAGCTGGGACCGCCTGCTCGCTCTCCCTCTCTCTCCGCAACTGGAGCCTCCCTTGCTCCTTCCTGGAATTTGGAGAGGAGGAGGAGGAAGAGGCAGGCAGACAGACCTCCCACACTCTCGCCTGCCCGCCTGGCATCACAGGGAAATGAAATAGGCGCTATGGAACTAAGGTTTCCTTGGCTGCCCCAGACCCTCCAACACACATCACTGAGTAGGGGGGCAGGTTTTCCAGAAGGGGCATGGCCGCCCCCACACCCACCAAATGGAAGCGAGGCCTCTTGCTTCCACCCAGCATCCTGCCCGCCTGGGCCCCTGCGGGGACCTCCAGGCACCACTGTCAGCCTGGGCGGGGGGTGGGGGGATTAGACTGCTGCCAGCCTGGCCAGCACCTGTTGCCAATCCCCAGCCCTGTAACTGGAGCTGGCTGGGAGTGGGCTGCAAAATGACAGGTGGAATTTCTGCAACCAGGCAACCCCCCCCCCCTCAACCCACTGGATAGGCCTTTCCCTTCCCAGAACGAGGAAAGCCTGTGCCCCCTCCCAAGTGTCAACCTGATCTCATGGCCGATGTCCCTCTCCTGCCGATGGGGGCGGGGCCTGGGAGGTGGGGAAGGGTATGAGCTTATTGCTGTTTGCACAGTGACCCCCACTGGCTGCAGAGCTGGGCTGCCCTTGTTCACGTGTTCTGAGCTCTGCTGCTCTAGCAGGGCTGGGGGGGGGGCGTGCGTGTGGAGGGGGCTGGTTTTCTGTTAATGTTTTAATTGCATAAAAACTGGGAGCTCAGCTCTGGGCCAGTGGGGAGTCGGTCTGGCTGGCCTCCCGGTTTGGGCTAAATATAGTCTGGGACATCTGCAGAGAAGGGGAGGGGGGCAGAGGGAGCTTCCATTCCCCCCACCTCTGGCCAAGGTGCCCTCTCTGGGCGGGCACCTTGGAGCAGGAAAGGGGATTCTTCAGCACAAAAGGCAGGGGAGAGGTGGGTGGGGGCTGGGCACAGGGGCGACCTCACCGGTCTGGAGGCCAGTGGAAGGATGGGGTGAACCCAGAGGCTCAGGACAGTGCCTGCCGGCAGGAGTGGGGCGCAAGGCGGGCTGGAGCGAAGGGCTCTGCTCGTCCCCCCTCCGAGATGCCTCCGTGTGTCACTGCGCCCGGCTGGTGTCACCGCGACCCACTCGCTGTGTGCTCGTGTGTACACACCTACCTTGGAGCGGCTCCCTCCCCCAGAGCCTCGTCCCCTGGGTCCTACTGCAGGTTCCCAGCCCTTCTTCCTTTGTCCCTTGCCCCACAGTGAAACCTTCAGCCCAGGAATCGAGACTCGAGAAGGGGAAGCTGCGGTGGGGAGTTCTCTGATCTCCAGTCACGGCAGGAAGTGGAGGGGAGGGGGGCCGGGGAGGGGGCCTGAGTGGCAGGCGTGGAGGGAGGGCCAACCCTGAACGCTGTGGGAGGGGGCGGCCAACCTCCCAGCCACCCCCTCTTCCCTCTGGCTCCAAGTGGGGCCAACATCGGGAACAGCTGATTTCCCAGGGGCTGCTAACCACCCTCATCACCCTCCCCACGCTGGGAAAAAAAAGTCTTCCTGTCATGTGACTGTCACTTCCTGTCCCACTGTGGTTCCTGGGATGTTTGTTGTTGGTTACCATGGAGATGGCCGCTGTAGGCTTTACCCTGGTTCTTGTGGGGAGGAAAATGCCCCCTCCCCCTAGACCCACAATGGGGGGGGGCGGCCTGGGGGGCCTGTCTTGGGGGCCGTGTCAGGCTGAGTGTGGGTGGTCTCTGATGTCCCAGATCCCCCAGGACCCCCCAAGACTTCTGTCCACGGGAAGGAGTCACAGTATCTACCCAGATGAGTGTTGGGGAGCTGCGCCCGCATGTGGCTGTGCTTGACTGGCCGGCGATGTGAGTGGCTGTGCAGACCCTGTCCCCTCCAGCCTGGGGCCTGGCTGCCTTATAAAAATGCCGCTTGGTGTCTCTTTTCACTTTTGAAACCTTCTCCCATCCTGTGTTCTCATGGAAACGACCCTTCCCAGGGAGTTTCTGTGACTTCTTGGGGTCCAGGCTGGAGTGGGGTGGGGCTCTGGGCAAGATCCCTGGTCGTGTATTTTCTTTGGGGGGTGGGGAGAGTGGTGCCCCTCCCACACAGCCTGCACCAGCTTCTCCCTGACCCCAAAGGCCTTGTGCTTCAGGGGCCAGCCATTGGA